GCAATGCATGCACTTCTTCGGTGTTTACACAGTACGTGCAACTGTGGGGCAAAGCAGATCTTATCCACCACAGCTCTTTCACACCCGCGTTTACACGCCACCGCATTCACGCAAACCGGCGTTCACACACCATTGTTTTACGCGAACCAGCTTTGACACGACACCAGACCACACTAGATGCTGTAGCAACCTCTCCTCGTGACTCCTCCCACTCTGATGTGGCACACACTTTTGTATAGCACAAATTTGGCACCGGGCAGTTGTTACAAACCACAATTGCTGTTACACCGCCCTGCGGCCTTGCGTTTCGACTGCAGGGTTACATATTTCTGCGCAAAGCAGTGAATTTACACTCTGCAGTTTCTACGCGAAGCAGTGTGAACGCTGCACACGGCCCTTCTTGCGCACGCCACCCCACCAGATCTTCTACGCAAAACAGCGTTTACATTGCAACATGTTCAGGGAACCCCCTCCACAATCACCGGGATCGACGCATTTGCATCGCACCAGACCACGCCATTATGTCCTTCCAACCTCTCCTCTTTCTAGAAAACTGTTCTCGCCGATCACCTGGTACATATCTACTTTTCGTGTGTTCCTTTCCCTAGTTGAGGCAACATTCTGCGCTTCGTTTGCAAAGGTGCCCTTGGTTTTGCTGTTTCAGTAGGTATGTGCCAACTTCACACTTGGAACGTGTTGCCGACTGAAAAAATTTATATGTGTCAGATTATTTCAGTGGTTGAATTAGTGCTGATGGTTCAAGCTTGAAATCATATATCAAATCATAAGTGATCATGAGGGGATGGGTGCCCAGTTCTGTTTTTGAGTCCATCATTCACTCAAGCTGGCTCTTAAAGACAATCATAGGATACCATGGGAATTGTTAAACTATGCCCTGTATATCCAACCTTGTCACTCAGGTATGTTCAATGTACATGTTGGAACATAAGGTTTTTAGTTCCGGCAGTATCGATAGCACGTTCATCATGACAAGCGTCGCTGCGTTGATCACGCCCGGCATGGAACTGCGGCCGTTTGACCTTGATATGCTGCTGATTCCGCTGGTCTCTCAGCGCCTGAGTTTGCGACGACAGGTGCTGGAGTGTGAATTCCCACGATTGTGTCACATGTAGCCCTGCTGGAGTGTGAAGCAGGAGTATCAGGAGTCTTGAGGTCTTGGGAGACTTTCAATCTCCACCTTGTCCGATGGTGACGACGGAAGAGAGCAGACAGGAGCCGCAATGGTGCTGCCCATAATGGGTGCACATGTCCTTATCATGGAAGGTCCAGCGGCTGCACAAGACTTTTCCACTGGCAACCTGCTGAGTGGCAACTTAGGGTCTTCGAAGAATCTTTTAAATGAGTCAATCATAGATTTGCCCAAAACAGCAGCATTCGGACTTCCAAACTCAGGCATTTTGTCTCAGAGCCAAAGCCGCCGCGTGCTGGAAGTGTCCAAAGACCTGTAGCAAATCCTATGAGGTTGCCGTATGTTTCCCCTTTTGTTGAAGGCATACCGAAGGTCACGACAGGTAGCCCTTTAGGGGATACCTTGAGTTTTGCGAAGCAAGTGTTGGGACGTCCGGGTCTGATAATTGATCACTCAATTCAAACCACCCCACCCCCTCGAATTGATTTCTCAATACAGACCCCCCCCCTCTAAATTCAATTCTCTCCTGGAGAACGTCTTCGTGAGCCTCTCATGATTTCAGGATAGTTGAAACCCTCTTGAACACTCAGAAAGAGTGCATATGAAATTCAAATCACGAAAGGTGTTCCCCGTTAGAGTGCATATGAACATATATTTACGATTTACGAAAGGTCGCCTCCGAGGGGATGAATCACCATGTCGAACATTGCATTTTTGTTCCTGCTTCTCGCGTTCTCTTCTCTTCCCGCTGTCCTACCTTTCGTGTCTCCCTCCTCTCAAGTTGGGAATGTCCTGCCCTGTCACCAAGCCGTATCTCGCCGCAGAGAAGCTCGCCTCATGTTCCACAAAGGCCATAAGGCTCGGTCCCAACACTTCTCCCCGCGTCGAACGACACATGTTCACCGCATGGCCCAGTGGGAAGGTGCTTACATCGCGGCCATTGCGACACGAGGAGCGGGATTGGAGCAAGGGCGGTCTGCAAAAGCCTGAAGGAGGTAGAAGCAACCGGCTGGGAAACATACAGTGCACACGCCAAACATCACCTATGAGTCAATGCGTGCAAGAGAAGGCTCGTGACTTTCTTTTTGCAGTGGGACCGTGGGATTCCTTAGAAGCCCATGGAAGCCTACGGAGACTCTACAACATCTTTGACAGCTCTGGATGTTTTAAAGTCTGTATAGACTCTTGAGCCATAGTGAGCGATTAAGACTTGGGGCGATTCACTTGGCGCTGTCCAAAGTCCAGTGCCTTTCGAAATCAATAGCTGCTAGGTTCCTCAAGTGTGAAATATATATATACGTTCCCAGTACGTAGACGATGTTCCGCACATGACGGTTCAGGACCTGCTGGGTAGAGCTGTTCGTCTCCAGCTGTCCGGATATACTTTTTGACCAACGGAGCGGTTCGCGACCCAAATTTGAGACAACGCATACGACCGGAAAGCACCACCGCCCACCGCGGGTGTCAGCCTATATACATAAATCCATCCGAATCCGCGGTGCAGTGACGTGGATTTGGGGACCAACCTGGGAAGGACCAAGCAAAGCTTTGATGGAAGTTCTGGATGTTCATTAAAGACCAGAAAGGATGTGGTCTAAAGAAAACAAGAGAGTGCACAGATGCTATTGATAAAGGTTGACTGGTCCCACTGGTCGTTTCCTTAGCACTAATCAGAGGCAAACGGAAGGGTAGTGCACAGAAAGGGTTTTGCAAACACCTATTCTACTAACATCGTGGAAGGCGTGGGACATTCGTAGAACCCAAGGCTATTCGTGGACAGTTCGTGGAATGGTGGGCCAGTAGGAGAACTGACTGCAACGAAATTCCAGAAACCTGCGCAGAACTTTGTGGAAGGTATTTTTGATGCACTAACTTCGTATAATTTTTGCTGACCCCCTTTCTCCACACACACCCTCCATTTAGCCTTCAACTAACCGCAGCAACAAATGCTGCAGCTCTTGGTCGCATGATGCTCAACTGACAAAGACTCAGTGAAACCCTCAAACTTACAGTTCAAACCAGTGTGCCCAATCCCCAGACTGGTTCCTTACTGCGGCCAGACTGGACTCCAAAAAAGGTTGATCGAAAGATCACAGTGATCCCTTGAGTGCCTTGGCCTGTGGGAGTCCTGGCTGGACTACCCAGCCCATGCAATACCACGCTCCGTGCTGCTTCGACAGGAAGTTCGGCTTGACGGCCAAAAAACCCTTGGGCGCCTCTGCGTTGTTCTGTGCGACGTGAGCGGGTTTCTTCGCTGAAGCGCAGGGGGGGGTGGGTGGATGTGGGCGGTGGGTGCGGCGTGCTGAAGCAAAAGGGAGAAAGGGAGTGAGACCCGCGCCGTTCCTCTTGCGTCCACTGACTGACGCGACTCGGAAAGAACGAAGGAATGGACCCATAAGGAATCTCTATTGGGAGGTCATTCCCTGATTCCCAATACTAATTACTTGTCAGTGCACTTCGTGTTGAAGGCAGGCCAAGGCTATCCAAGACTAGAGGAAGGGAGGTCGGAAGGTGGAAGGGAACATCTAGGATGTGAAGTGGCTGGAAGGATTGGTTTGTCATGCTAGCTGCTAGATACCTTGCAGGTCTTCCGCAGATTGCGATCAAAGCACTTCACAAGGACACAATTTGTAACTCGGTGTCCGTTTCACTTGCTTGGGCCGTTGCCTGAGGACAGGTCCGTTGCGCGGAATGGCGGCAAAGGTCTTGAATACCTTTGCTTAAAAGAGTCAGCCATGCTAACCAGCACTTGTCCCAAAATCAACCAGCACTTACTCTCAGTCTTACACCTCCTTACTCAGAGCTTTTGGCCCAATGACATCGTCGTCCTACTCCACCAGTGAGTATACTTCTGACTCTGGCTCTTCGAGTGAGTCTGAGTCTGATGATGGGGCTGCGAACTTCAGAAAAGCCAAAGAAGCTGTGTATCTCGGAACTAACTTGGGGTGTTCTGGTGTTGATGCAGATCAACAGCCTTTTCACTAAGACTTACAGTCGCCACCATTAACTTAGCCAAGGCGTGGCAAACCAGTGACCCCTCCACTGGTTTTGAGCTCTCACCAGAAGAGTCGCTTGGCGTCCTGGGGAGCTGACTTGGTGCGCCGCTCTGGATGCTTGAGAGAGATTAGATGGGCGGGTGTTGGCTTGTCCCACACCCAGTTAGGTCAATGACTGGGTCAATGTATCATCAGACAGACTCAGAAGAAAAGCCAGAGGAAGTATACTCGCTTGTTGAGTAGGACGGTGTCATTGGGCCAAAGTCTTCGAGTAAGGAGGTGTAAGACTGAGAGTAAGCGTCGGTTGGTTTGGGGACAAGTAGTTTCAGACAAGCGTCGAGAACGGTCCTGCGTGCGTGGAGAACGGTCCCACGTGCCTTTTCATCCTCTCTCCCATCTCTCCTAGGAGCTGGGCCTTTGATCAATGCTGTCGCAAGGAACATCAAGGCCAAGTGGACGCTCATGTCAGACTGCCGCTTGAAAGCATTGAGTGAACGCATGTGAACACATGGCAACCCAGTATTCTTTGGATGGGTGAACCCGCAAAGGCTCCGGTGCCCTGGGCTGCTACTTTGGCCTCAAGGAGGTTCTGAACCACAAGGCCCAGGGCCCACTGAAACTCATGTGTCAAATCCAATGCTTTGAAGCTCAGAACTCCATACTGTATAAATTCAAAGTGGAATGGCAGGTGAAGCTCACTTCAGTGTGTGACAAAGCTCTGGGGCCTTTGAAGTTCTTCCTGAAGAATGCAAAGAGTGAGAGGCCTGTATGTTCATGATGATTTCGAAAAAATAACAAACAGTGAGACTTAATTTGCATCATCATGGAATGTTTCTGGAAGGCTCTACACCGAGATGGTTGGCCGAGAGCTGGATGGATTGGAGCATACAACAATGTATGCTGCAGGCTTCCCGTGTCAACCGCCCCTTGCCTTACCTGCTGTCCACTCACCTGCTCACTCACGCTGCCACTCAGTTCCACTTGCTGCTACCTCAGGTTCTCACGGCTGCGGCGATCCACGACCCATTTTGATGAGCCAGGGGGCGAGATCCTGGATGAGTGCTTGGATGCCTTGAAGAGGCCAGCAAGGTTTTAATGAAAACTTGTTGTTCCTGCAGGGACCCTTTGCCAGCTGAAGAAACACATCTTCATTGCTCACTTCCAGCAATGACATGCCATAGACTTATCCTTAACTTTGTTTGCCAGGGTGCGGCCTCTGGTGGGAGTTCTTGAGAACGTCTATGGGCTGATGGATGTGTGGGACCAGGCTTCTTGTCATTACAGTTGGTACCGCTTCAGTTTGGGACTTCAGCATTGCACTGCATGCACTGTTTGCTATTGTTTTCTAAAATTTACTGGGTGAGGTTCGCGAGAAGATCACCAATGCTGGGATCAGGAAGGCCTACTTCGTATGCCATATCAAGATGTGCCCTTCCAAGTTAGGCGAGCCGGTAACCCGCAGAAGGGTGTACATGTTGTTTTTGAGAAAGAACCTTAGCTGATTTGGATAAATCTATATATGTATATCTATCCATTTAGCTACCTACCTACCTACCTACCTATCTATCTATCTACCTATCTATCTATATATATATATCTATCTCTATCTCTATCTCTATCTCTATCTCTATCTCTCTCTCTCTCTCTATCTATCTATCTATCTATCTATTCGTTCCCACCTTTTGTAACAAATAACCTTTTAAAGCTGCCATCTAAGGGATGTGGCCAAGAACAACATCAAGAACGATGACCATTTCCAGCGAGAAGCAGATCAGTCTGTTGAAAGCATGCACCATGAGCAGCCCTTGAACACCAGTGTGTTTGCAACTTAGGGCCCATGAGGCCAAGAAAGATCAAGAAAGGTTCCCAAAACCCACTTTCTGAGGCCTCAAATGATGTTGGGGAGAGAGACCGCCTATGTCAAGAAGGTTCTTGAAGAGATGGAGGAAAGCATCCGCAACTAGCCAACCAAAGCGCTTGTCAATGTTCACCGGGAGTGCACAGTCTGCACCTAACAATACTTTCAACCTTTGCAACAATACTTCTGAGCTTCATCGATGATGTTTCAACCTGTTCATGGGTTCAAACCAAACCAAGGCCCAAATCTGGGAAACCGAGATGGGTGAAGAAGCACATTCTCAAGATCAAGCAGCTGAAGGTCTGCAAACGGTAGACTTTGTGCCTCTTGTTGGTGTTCAACATACTTCCCTACACCCAATGCAAGGCATAATGTCAGCCACATGTTGGTGTTTGTCTGGGGCTAGTTCTGTGTCCATGTTGTAGTTAAACTCAGAAATTGTCTTCATTGACCAGTCAACGCACCATGACCTCTTCCCAATCTGATTTCTGGCAGGTCAGCCCGCACAACTTGCAGAAAGACCCAGATGTGCGGCGGTTCTTTCACTCCCAACGAGTTCATCATGCCCCTTTGGCTTGAATTTGTTTGCCAGGAGTCCCACCTTTGGCTTGTATGTTCCCGTGCCAAGACGCATCTGAGGCGGTGGACATCCACAGGACTGCCGGCTTCAAAGGAACGCTAAACCTGAGCCAACAGGTCGATAGAATGGGCTCAAACCCAAACATGTCCCCTTGCTTGACGCCCAATGATGTCCTGTTCAACTTCGTCAAGTCGCGACCATTGACCGGCGGGGATAAATTCCTCTTACAAGCATTCCCTGGACACTCCATTGATGTGAGTTGCCTGTCCGAGAAGGATTCTAAACTGCACTTACTTAGGCCGGCCTCATATTTCAATCTTCCAAAGTATCAACTAGGGTTTGGTGAACAGTTCCAGTTATTGAGGAAATCAACGCCCTATCTGGCAATGTGCCTTGGCCAATTTATATACATGTCATAACCCACCGCCCTTGGTCCACTCTGGCTGAGTTTATCCACCTCGCTCTGCATCAGGCAATGCATTGCAAATGCGTGGCAGCAGCATTCCTGGCTGCACTGAGCTGTGGGGATATCGAATCGTTCTGCCAGGCGTTTCAGGCAAAGCTAGACTTGCATGAAGATGCTCAGGGCTAATCTGCTAAGACAGATTGCATATAGAGGTTGAGTTGCCACGCGCGGCAAAATCATATCAGCCTAGTGCAGTGGTGTTTTTAGATGACCTTGTCAAAGCAACTTAGTCAGTTCAAGGGAAACTTCTGGCTGTTTCTTCAAGATGGATACAGGTGGCTACAGGGCTCTCACTTGTCAAGACGACAGGATCCGGCCAACATGCAGGGGCAAATATTTATTTATCTATACATATAGTCTATTTTGTATACTCATCTATTCGTAGAGATATCCCATGTTGCATTACTTTAATTAGATATTCCCCAAGTATAACACACTCAATTTAGACTTTGGCAACATGTTGCAACCTTTGGCAACTTGTTCATACTTAGACTTGTTCAAAGCAGCTTCCCAACATGAAGCGGTTTGATGCACCGGGAGAGTCCTCGAGCTCATCGTCATCGAGCTCATCATCATCAAGCCCAGTTTGGAAGAAGCATCGAAGATCAGAGTCCTTGGGGTCAGAGTCTGGGGGTTCAGACTCTGAATCGGATGGGTCTGGCCCACTCCATGTGAAGGGAAGAAGCGAGCTCCTTTTGACACATCTTTCTATGTTTCCAGGTGAGGAGGCCCAATGTGAGTCCATGGCCGCCCAGAATGGGAAATCCAAAGAACGGATCAGAAAAGTTCTGAACAATGGACTATGCAAATGCAAAAGGTCATGCTACAAGTCGGTGACCTTGTCCATGGTACTCAAAGTTTGCTTGACTTTTTGGGGGCTGACAAAAGCAGCCCAAGACACAGTGTTATGGGGGATACAAAACATGGAAAAGAATCCTACAGAGAATGAAGTTGAAGATAGTTCATACAGTTCTTCGTCGTCTGACTGTGATTCCGACTCGGAAGATGAGCTGCGAACGAAACCTGTGCACTGCTGGTTTATTCAAGGTGGGGTGTTGGGTGAAATACCTTGTAATGATACAGTTCCAGGTCAAACAAGTAGACAAGTTCTGATGACAGTTATATGTCCTCTGGCATTTTTTGAACAATTCCCAAATATAAAGATCTCACCATCTCTTCCCTGAACCAGGCATCCAAATCTGCCGCGAAGCTTTTTGCAAACTCCTTGGGGTGGGCACATGGCGGCTAGTGAGGACGCGTAGAAATTTCCAAGGGGAAGACCAGAGGAAGTATGGTGACCAGGTTGCACTTGGTTGTTTAAAAGCCAAAAGTCGAAAGTCTATTATGCAGTCTGCCTACCACTTGAGGTAATCTGAAATCTCGCACATCATACGCTGCTTCATCCGTGGAATCTTTCCTTGAACGAACCTACTGGAGCTTGGCTGAGACGCTCCCCCACGAGTTGCTTGGACCAATGGATAATTCCAAGGAAACAATTTATGCTAAAGCCCCCTTTGTCCCAACCAAGGCTTAAGGTTCATGAGCCTGGACAAGTTGTGGCAACAGAACCTGGGCGGCAGAAATTGCTGGATCTTTTGGTGAACTCTTCATTGGAAGCTGACATGACAAAAGCTGTGCTTCCACTGGGGCCGAAGGATCTGATTAGGCGCTACCTTCCGCCTGGGAACTGGTCTGATATCTACCATTTGTACATCAGTTTCCAGAATGCTCAAAGTCTTCAATGTGCGTCGCCCACCACGTTCTTCAGAGTTGTGAGGAAGAGTGGCTGGAATAAGGTGCTCAGGTTTCGGAACGTGTCAACGCACACTGCTTGTCCCACTTGCCAGCGCCTGAAATCTCAACTTCGACATTCAAAGGATGTTGCGAGTCATGCCCGTGCTGCTGACAGGCTCATGAGACATTTGCAAGGCCAGTTCATGGACCGACAGATTTATTGGGGGCTGAGGGCCCGCGCCAAAAGGGATCAAAATATTATTGTTTGTATCCAAGATAGTATGGATAAGGGAAAGTTTGCCCTCCCAAAGTTCATCGACGGCCGAGTTCCCAAACACCTCGCGACTTTGAACCGCCCGGTTTTGGAAGTTACTGCTAATATCATTCATGGCCGTCTCATCTACGTGGCTGTTGCCGATGAGGGGGAAAACAGTGGATCGTCTTGGAGTTTGGAAGTGTTGAGCAGGGCATTGGACAAAGCCTACCTCCAAGCTCAGAAGCGTGGCCTTTGTTGGCCTTCCCACCTCAAAATTTGGAGCGATAATACTCCAAAGGATTCTCGACTGGTTTATGATGTTTATGTTAATGTTTTTGGCTAATGCTCTATTCGTTGTCTTTCATTCTTGAACCTGTTGCACTTGCCAACACCTAGAAGCAAAGGAGATCAAAAATGGAGTATTTGGCACCTGGTGCACCGCAGCAACAGCACTGAACCTCTTCGATTTGATATCGACAGAACAATTGGTAGTTGGCCACACACATGAGGATATTGGTAGCTTTCCTGCGTTTTGAAATTGATCGTTGAGTGATGTGAAGTACTTCTAGATTGTAAGTTTCCCCCTTTCACTGCCTGAACATCCTTGCGATGTGCTGAGATGCCTTTTTTGGATTGCTATGCAAATTTATCCGATGCGGTGACGATAGCGTGCATCTTGTCAGCGCACTGCAATGGTTTCATATCAACATGACATACTTCCAAGATAGTTTTGAATATGACACTCTGCAGGCAAACGCCAACGGATGTGGTAAGGCCACAAGCTTAGTTGGGTTTGTAGCTAACTGTAAGCCTACCTACATGTTCTTCTTTCTGAACACCAGTGGCAGTGGCTCAGGCTTTTGGAAGACAAGGTTGCTCCCATTTTCCGGGCGAAACAATATGAGTTTCATGTCGAGTACATCAGAGCGGTCCGAAACTGGAAGGACCATCTTCCAACTGTGTCTGCACTTTCTGGGTGTTACCGAAAGAGAAACAAACGCGATGAGAGCATTGTTCCCCACAGCTTCACCTTTGTTCAGCGACGTCGTAGCTTGGCCACTGTTTTGACACCAGTTAGTAGTCAGTCTACATTTGGGCACCTGTTTTTACAAGGTATGCCTTCTCTAACCCTTGCATTTATTAATTAAGGTATGCCTTCGAATCTTCTTGAGCAAGCAGAGCAACGTCTGCCCCGGAGGTTTGGTCCACACGGTTCTGATGTGTTTGCATTGGTCAAAGCCTTTGCCAGTGACACTCATTTGAGTCAACCTGCACTACTTATTATGCCTGGTGATTCCATTTATGAACATGTGGAACCTGCAATGTCAAAGCTTGCAGTTGGTGATGTAGCCCGAACCTTGTAGTCCTGCTTTAAAAATCATTTTCTGTTTTGGTTCATCACCTTTATTTCCTGTCCCAAGTCCCATGTACCCTTGATCACTTCCCAGCTCTTGTGCCAAGGATCCGCTCACTACTTGGAGGAAGCTCGCCAAGAGGACCTCATTGGCCTGGCCGAAACTTTGGCATCTGAGTACCCTCAATACGGGAGAGCTTGCAGGTACCTTCAAACTTTGGGGGGTCAAGTGGCCAGGGTAGTGGAGCCATTACCGGAGATCCAATTCATTTTGGCAGGGGGAACGCCTCCTGTGCAGAGAGGCTCGCCTATTTTGGAGCACCCAGAGCCATATGCGGTGCACCGGATGAATGTTACGTTTCACAGGTACAACTAAACCGGCATGCCTTGGGGTTGTGGCAGGAAAGATTTCGAGCTGCTTCTAATGTGAGAATTAGCTTTTGCAGTGAACTCAACCTGTCAGTGCAACTCTAACCTGACTGTCAGGGTTGGATCTAGCCTTTTGATCCAAACTTCGGTCTAGGGTCGCCCCTCGACCTGCAATGGCGACCGAAATGGCACAACCTGTTGGCTTCACTGATGTGAAGGCCAGGTAAGGTAGTTTGGTTTGTGGGACTTGGAAACAATGAATTCCTGTAAGATATTGTTCCAAAACCACCCCCAAGATCACTGGTGGCTCTGTCAGGCAGAAGCTGGTGATCACGCGTCTCCAAACTCTGCAGAGTCCAAAGGTGAAACCTTGAAGCACAGGGTTCTCGCTGCTTTTGATGAGGCCAGGTTTGTAGCAATGGGAGCTAAGTCCAATGGCCACTATGATTCAACATCAAACACTTTCTATTTGTCTATTTTTGGGGATTTGGAGGTCACAAACCAGCAGAACTTGGGGAAGTTCCTCTGGGAGACCCATGGCTGCGATGAGGGCAAGCAGCTTCAATTTGCAAAGGTTTCTTGGCATCCCGTGGCCATGAGGCATAGAAACTTAGAAACTAAAGTAACAATTTTCCACATTCCAAAGATGTCAACATCTGCCTCTTCGTTTGAGGCTATGGCGGACATCTTTGCAATCCCTGAGGTAGCTGCTAAGTTGCCCCAGAGTTGTGGGCCAGTCCTCAAAACCGTGCCTGCGTCGGCAAGGTCGAATGCATACTTGCATCCTTGGCACCTGAGTCTTTGTGAGAATGCCAAAGCTGGCAGGTTTCCTACAATGCACCAGACCCGACTCCACATGCCCAGCATTGTTTGGAAACACTACCAGGCACATCGTGAGGCCTTGGAGATCAAATGTGATGCCCCGGCAGGTGACCAAATAGGTCATTTCACAGTGCGCTACATCGATGGCCACAACAAGGGGATGATGGTTCAAGGGCTGTTGGCCATGGTGATCCATACTGCTACTCAGCAGATCTGGGTGTTTTGTGGAGGAATTCTGTTGGATAAATTGCTACTGGGACTACTTGACAACAACTTCAGGGAGTGGAAGGTTGCCAAACTCAGCTCTAAAAGATATTGAAACCCTAAAAGTGAAACCTTGGGTTCACCTGAGGGCATGCGCCATGATGAAATTGCTGCTGATGATGATTTCTGCCAACTTCTAGCATCGCTGAAATATCTCCGGGTGAACTACCAGCCATTGTCTGCCCAAGCTGCACTCTATGAGACATTGTGCCAACTTCTCAGTTTTGTGGATTTGGTTTTGCCCATCCTGCCCTCATCCAGATTCCAAACCTCTTCGGCGAGGTCTGGCCCACAGCACCAGTGAGAAGCAGAAGCCGGGTCCTCTTGACTTAGCGTTGCTTTTCCGGGAAGTGTTGGAAGTGAAGAAACACAGTGGAACCGGATCGAGTACTAGGGAGGTCCTTTTCGCCTCTATCGCTGAATACAACAAGTGCTGCACTTCCAAGGTGGGGTGTTGAGAAGAACCTGTATTCCACAACATCGTGCGCAGGAACATTGTAACAATGGTAACGCTAGAGAACAATGATTTCTATATATTGTTTTTGTGGGACATATTGGAACCAGAGTCAGGCATGGAGGATCAATGAAGCCACTCGGCGCTTGCTGTATGGTGTATTGCGCTGCCCAGCTTCTTTCCTGGAAGTTCTGAAGCGGGCCACAGAGTACTGTGCCTGGAAGGATTCAGGCCAGGTGTTTCACATCCTAAAAGTGAGTTCAAAGTGAACCCCTATGGCGCCCTTTGTGGCCAAGGTATGGTTCGTACAGGTTAGCTGTTAGCCCCCCTCGGCGCATCAAATTTGAAATATAGGAATTCGGTCGCTGACCCTGCAGCCTTCACCCTCGAGAATCTAGATGGAGATTGGTTTGTGCCTGGCAACTTGCTTGGGGGCTCTGCAGTTACAGACCAGTTCTGGAAACAAGTCAAGGCTCGGCTTCAAGTCTTGTCAGCATTGAAGCACTAAGACCCAAAGATTCTAAGATAGGATGTTCTTCATTGTTCTTCAACTCAGGCTAAATCATTTGTTGAATTGAGAGGAATCTAAGATAAGATGTCCACATGGTTTTTGTCAAAAAATGGCAAGATTTGACAACCTGTTGTAAACTTCACCGGGTGCCCACTGCCCTCACACCCTGTCCTCTCAGACCGTCACTGCCGAAAAAGTGCACCTGTGGGCAGAGCGCGCGTGGAAGGATCACATTCGGAAGGCACCCCGGGATTCAGCGGTGAAGCAGAAGGCAAGGAAGTTTCAAGCAGCGTGAAACAGTTTCAACATGTTTAAACAAAACAAACATGTTCCAATGTTCCTGCCACATGTAAGGGCGTAGGTCTTTGGGTGTGGGAATAGAACCCTGCCAGAAAGCTGCTCAACGCAGCCTTACCGAGATGCAGGATTTGCTTGAAACCTGCTGCCTGTGGACCCACATTGAGGGCGACCTGATCAGCTACATTGGCAAAGGCTCAGAGTATGACAGAGTCGCTGGCATGTGGGAACAGGGGCGCCTAAGCTGACAGATTCCAATAGGTTCTGCAATCGTTCATGTTCAATGAAATATTGAAAAACTAACCTGGGTTGGCCGAAGGGAACCGCGCGATCCTGGGTTGGCCGAAGGGAACCGCGGGAACTTGGGTTGGCCAAGTACAACCCACCAAAAACCACAGGATTTTCTGGAGCCCACACTGATCACCATAAAATCCTGTGGTTTTTTAAAACCGCAGGATTTTCCAATGGTGTTGGAGGAAGGGCAGGATTTTTACCTCTTATGGAATTGAACCTGAAAATCCTGCAGTCCTTCAATCCATATATAATTGTACTGTGAATTTTAAATTCCGCAGGAAAATCTAGAGGGAACTCAAGCTGGTGGATTTTCCTTCATTTCATAGTGTGTTACCGGCAATTGGCAACCTCAGAGTACTGTGGTTTTTAAAAACCGCGTGATCGGGGAAGTGCCGAAGCAAACCGCGTGATTGGGGAAGTGCCGAAGCAAACCGCGTGATTGGGGAAGTGCCGAAGCAAACCGCAGGATCCGTGATGTGCCGAAGCAAACCGCGGGACACTGCCAAACCAAACTGCAGGATTTGGCAGAAACTTACTGTAACACTAATCCAAGATTTTCCAACAACTCAATGTCCAAATTTACCCAGGACTTTGGACGCAGAGCTGAAATCACATTGCCGGGGTATGGCTCCTGACTTCGACTTCCGGAAGATGTCCTTTGTAGTTGAAGCCTCCGGTTCCTTGCACAATGAGCAGCTGGAACAAGCCCAGTCCAGGACTGCCAATGCTTTGAAGAAGTCCCTTGGGGCTGCGTGGGAGCTCTTCCAAAGAAAAATTTGCAGTCAGACCAAGTCATGCGGGACAAGTTTTTGAACTCATGCTCTGGTGATGAGTCCCGCCAGCGTGCTGCCATCATCGACAGCCTCGAGGTCACTGGGTTCCAAGTTATGGAAATTGAATGGTTTAAATAGAAACACTGCTCTGGAAGTTGATTAGTTTAGATAAATTAGCAACACTGTTGTTGCTATTCTTTTGTTGCAGTTACTGGGTGATCCGACCCTGTCAGAAAATGCATGCCATAGCTTGGAAGCAAGTCAATGCCTTCATCATGGACACGGTCCCGACATGGTGCAACAGTGCCACTGCGAAGCAAAAGGAACACGCAAGCGCCAGCGCCACGGCTGCCACTTCAAGAAACATTTTGTAACACTCTCACCTGGAAGTCTCACCTGGAACTTCAAAAAATCGATGGTGTGAAGGTGAAGGTTTGGGGTTTGGAACCTTCTGTTGAGGTCCAGAGCAGGAGACCGACACCAGTGCTGTTCTCACTGCCAACCTGATGCCGTGGTTGGAAAACAGCCTTGCCAGCATGTCTGGTGGCATCAGGCGGCTCGACCAAGAACTCGTGGTGGTCTTTGTCAACTTCCAAGCGGCAGGAGTGGTGTCTGCCAACAGGCAGCACTTCGTTCTGACGCAAGTCACTGCCCTTTGCAACAGTTTCCCTCGAAGTTGTGTGGCAGTTCTGGTGATGCCAAACCGTGCTGCTGACCTGCGTAATGCTAAGCCGCTAGGCTTGTGATTCCTACACGTTTCCTGTTTCATTTCAAGCTCGCCCCAAGTCTGAAGGTATGGATAGGGCATGATAGGGCGCCCCACCAGTTCCCTCCCCATTGCGCCTCAGGGCTGAAGTCAAGGATGAGGCGGAGGCCAAAGCTGAACAAGAAGATGGAGACGAAGCAGGCCTCAGCGACAAGCGAAGTAAAAACAAAGTTCAAAACTGCCCCTGTGTAACTTTTTCTGGTTGTCGTTCTTCAATCTTTTGGTCACTGTGATGCCCAGAAGGCATTCAGTTCATGCAAATTCCTCAAGCTTTGCCTGAGATAGACGGCTCACCCAGAATGGGAGAGAGCCCTGAGGTTTGCCCAAGCAAGTGGCGCACAAACAAACCACTGACACTTGCCCAATCCAGAGACAAAGCAACGCAGAAACTTGTCCAAGCGCCACAGAAACTTGTCCAAGCAAGACGCAACAACACACAGAACAAACAAGCACACGATAGAAAACCATTGAGACTTGTCCAAGCAAGGGACACAAGCACACAGAACAAAGAAGCGCACAATAGATACCCACAGTGCCATGACACAACAGCAACAAACAGTGTACAGAGCAAGGAAGCACACAATGGAAGCCATGGAGCCTTGTGCAAGCAAGACAACAAAAATACACAACCACATACAGAACAAAGAAACACACAATAGAAAGCTGTGGAGACTTGCCAAAGCAACGCACAAAAGTCGCAAAAGCAAACCACTGAGACTTGCCCAAGGGAGAAACAAATCACACAAAAGAAAAAACAAACCACTGAGACTTGCACAAGCAAGAGACACAAGCGAGACTTGCCCAAACCAAAGAACACAACAAAACGGTGCACAAACAAACCATGGAAGACCTGTCCAAACAAAACACACAGAACAAAACGGTGCACAAACACACCACTGAGACTTGTCCAAGCAAGAGACAAAAACCTACAAACCCAGCGGCGTACAAAAACCACTGAGACTTGCCCAAGCAAGAGACAAACACATACAGAACAAAACGGCACAGAAAAACCACATAAACTTGTCCAAGGAAGACACAACAACATGGATACAGAACAAAGAAACACACAATAGAAAGCCATGGAGACTTGTCCAAGCATGAGACAAGAACACAATAGAATGCGACTGAGAATAGTCCAAGCAACGGAAGCGCGTACAAAAATCATCCAAAACAAAACGGTGCAAAAGCAAACCAATGATTGTTGCCTTTAAAAGCATACAGAACAAAGCGCTGCGCAAACAAACCACTGAGGCTTCTCCAAGCAAGGGACAAAACGTACAGAACAAAGCGGTTTGCAAACAAACCACTGAGACTTCAGGTTGGGAAAGTGTTCCTTACTGACCGGGAAGTTTATGTTCACAAGGTAAGCGTTGGGTTAGCAAAAGCATCTTGTTGCTGCAGCTCTCGCCCTTTTTTTCTTTTCCAGTGGGAAATGTCTCTCGCCTTTTCACTTTGAGATTGAAGGCTTGAGCCAAAATGGTATGGCATTTTGGCTAGTGAAATGTATTCCAGAAACATAACCTGCTTTCCACAGGTTCCAAGCACGTTCTAATTCTCGCCTTACATGGATGGACTTGTGTCTCTCGGGTGAGCAAAGGATAGTCACAAGTGTTCCCTGGTGTTTGTTGGTCTTTGAATGCCAGGATTGCGCTCTGACACTTGAGCGCAAAATGGCAGGTCCACGCAACCCCTTCTGAGAACATCCACTATAGTATACTTGCACTCATCCAACTTGGGTTAGTGCGATTGTGCTCTATCATGGGCTTGCGCCGTAAGAGCCTTTCGTAGTAATCAGCGCGACCTTGCTCCGATGGGCCCTGGCCCTTTCGCTGAGCGCTCAGTCAACAGCTGGCCTGCTTGGCCGCCGCTCCACTCGCGTAAGCCGATGCGCCATTCCTGACCAGATCTGCCCATTCGTCAAAGCGGGTCTCCACATTTTGCAGCGGCTGTTTCTGTACCCTCCCAAGCTGGGCTGGTTGATATTGGCCCTGAGTCCAGACCATTGTGTAGCGCATAGATTTGCGACCCGGTCGCTCAAGCGAGTGCCCAACCACTGCATGCGTTCTGGTCGATATGTGTTCTGGTCGACGCCTTCCTTGTCAAGATCAGTGAGGATACACTCACTCACAAGAAGCGCGTTCCTGACTTGGTGTGCTTCTCCTGCTTCTCCTTCTTCTTCTTCTTCTTTTTTTGTGTTTTTTCTTCTTCTCCTCCTCCTCCTCCTCCTTCTTCTTCTTCTTCTTCTTCTTCTTCTTTTTCTTCTTCTTCTTCTTCTTCTTCTGCTCCAAGCTGGCCCGCCAAAAAGGTTACGGTTAGAGCTTTTGGTGTTAGGTTTCAATGGGATGATGGGTCAAGAGGATAAAAGTGGACCTGGACCTATAGACGTAAGCTTGACACCAATTCTGGGGAGTACAATCTATCAACAAACAAACTATCAACAACCATGGCCTATCTACAGGCCAAGATGATGGGAACGACGACGATGAGGAGATCTGCGATGCAGGAAAAGATGATAGCGATGCTCTCCTGCGGGACTTCCAGTACCAAGTCAAGTGCCAATATATGGAGCGTGCCCGAAACCTTCGAGACACTGGGATCTCGTTTAACAAACATATGTGGGTTCCAGATCTAGCCAGCCCCATTAGTTTGGCAGGCATTTTGTTTTGGACTTTGTGACGCTGTGCGACACCCACCAACCCAATTCTTCACCGACGCCCAGATTCTTGAGCGACCCAAGGTGCGCAGTGCTGTTGTGAACTTCGATCCTGACACAGTTTATGGCTCACGGACTGGCTTCCAAGAGGTGCTTTTGGTCATGGCGAGGGAGAAGAACTCAGTGTCTTGGCCAGGAATTTGGCTCTGGTCTTGGTTGACATGGGGGCCCACAGAAACCCTGTCTACTACCCTCCTGTCATTCACAGATTGCTTCATCCACACTGTGACATGTTTGGGCTGGGTGCCCATCGAACCAGGTCCCTGCGAAGTCCAAGTTCGTCAAGAGCGGGTGCGTTTCTGGTGCCAAAATGTTGCCAAGGGCTGAGATGGTGAAACTTCCCCGTGATGCTTATGGAGGTGAGGCCAAGTTCACACCAGTCCAAGAGTTGAAGCAGGTGGGGGTTCAAGAGATTCCTTTGAACATATTTACTGTAAAGCATATTATGTTTTTGTAAGACACGTTTCCCAAAGAAGAGTTACAAACTCCAACTCAGATTGAATGTTTAAGTTCTTCCTTAACACTTTAGTAGGCCGACCACCTTGCCCATTCAAATATTGCTATTTCACAAAGGGTCATTCCTGATGCTACTACTCTCATTCAAACCCTGTCAGCATGCCGGCGGCGCGAGCTTTGTGGCAACCGTTATGGATGGATTGCTCCCACCGGCTTCAGCTGGAAAGGTCGCCCCGGTCATCTTGGATTTAATGGGGTACGATGCTGCAGCGGCCACCTACACTGTGAACAAAGTGGCAGCAGGACTGGGGTGGTTGTACTTCCCAAAACTATATGTTTACAGTTCTGAATAGTCAGAACCCAAGAAGGGGGGAACAAGTTTCCAAACAGCGAAGCTCAGTTTAAAACACCATGGACCATGCAGCTTCATAGCGTGGATACTGTTGCACCTGGAATGAATGACCTGCATAAAATCCCATCAACCTTCACAGGCGCCAAGATTGCCTGCGCAACTGTTGCCCATACCAAATCAGAAACGTCCTTCTGCACCGCGCTCATCGCGAACAAGGTCTTTGACCTTAGCCGTGCACAACGGTTGTCCATTCCTGGGTTCCCTGACTTCAAGAAGACCGTCCAGGAGCTAAAAACAACGGCTCAGCCACCTCATCCAGACTATTCTGTTACCATCCCAGTAGCAGATTCCCTTCATCAAGGAAGCCTTGATCGACCATTGGACCACCAAACCCGACTTCAAGGCTGACATTGAGAAGGCGGTCAAGGAGCACAATGCTGTCTACAACAAGCGGGGATTGAAGAGGGGCTCGGATGCTTCTGGTGGTGACCAAGCGACACGACCCACCAAGAAGCTTTGCATCGAAGCGGACCCTATCTCTGTTGATGAGTTTGAAACAAAGTATCCAGACAGGTTGGGGGCAACCAAAAAGAAAAAGGATACTCTCTTGCTGTGTAAGTTGGTTAAAATTGATCTGATGGTTGGGCTTTGCGGCGTTAACTTCCCTTCTCGCTCTGGCATTGACCTCCCTGAGGCTCGATCTGGCATCTGGCCATTGGACTTTGAGCCTGGCCGGTGGTTCGCTGTTCATCCACAGCCAGGAGGACTTCGTCTTGGACCAGTTCTTGGAGCTGTTCAGTGTTTTGGACTGCATGGTGATGGTGATGGTAATTACAATGATGGTGATTATGATGATGATGATGATGTTGATGACATTGTTTGCTTTTGATGACATGTTGATGAAGGAGGATTGTATAGAGATAAAATGTGATTCATAAAAGGTTGTTGTTGAAGTTGATGATGAGTGTGCCTTATGATGGGGGCAGAACGTTGCATGCAAGATCAGGGAATACCATAATAACATGTCATGTTTGGCCCAGGGAATAACATAACATGTTTGGCCCGAGGCTTTGGCAGCGGCGACTACGTTTCCAAGTCAGAAGCCACAGATGTGCTCTCTGATTTGGAAGGGCGTTGGATTCGCTATGATCTGACTGGTAGAGCTGATGAGTACCTTGAATCAAAGATTGAACGACTCTTTCTTGAAAAATCCTGAAAGATCTTGAAAGACTATGATTAGCTACCGCTCATGTTCACAACATTTATGTCATTGTTTCCTATAGGTTGCGTGGATGTTCAACAATGTCAAGCATCTATGATGCGAGGCGCCATGTGATTCTGGAAACCAACAAGAAGCTACCGGAACACCTATCCGAGTTGGACATCTTCAACAAGGTCTGCTCCCATACTGACCAGTCATCTCAACCCTACTGTCCTTTGGAATTATCCCTGGGAATTGCTCTGGGGGTTGTCCTTGCCAGGTGATCCCACTTAGCCAGCTGATGCGTTCTTTGGAGGACGCTGGGGAAGTGAACTTAAGCTTAGCTGAGCACGAGGTGCAAAAGACTGAAGCTGGGCTGGCCCTCAAAGTTCTGCACGATGTGTGCTTCGTTCTCGACCCCCAAAACGGCAAGAAGCGAAAGAAGGCTAGACACCAACTACATTGTTTTCCAACAGATGTTGAATTGAGTTCGCCAGGTATGGCATGTTCCCTTGGTGATTTGTCAGGTTTCTGCCATCACCTTTGGGCGCGATGTCAACTTCACGAAGCTTCGGGCTAGCAAGAACGTCCAGATTTTGTGGCGCTTGAGGCGCCACTTCATGTTTATAGTATCAACACGTTGGGTAGAACTGAAGAGAGAACGCTTTTGCAGTGAATGCATCGTGTGTTTGGTGTTGCCTTTGTTTTTCTTGGTCACACAGGCAGTGATTTTCCAACCCACACATCTTGGCTTGCACCTCCCCATCTGGAAGTCTGCTGGCCTTGTTCAGGATCCACACGGACAAGGGGTCTGCTCGAGAGCTGGTGCCTGTGCGCCCCGTCGCTGTGTTGCCAGGATCGATCAGTTTGAAAAGCAAGCGAGCTATCCAGCTGGCTTGAGAAGAATCAGGTTGGTTTTGGGGAAAGTATCATACAGTGAAACTGTATGCACATGGTACCCACTGGGCAAAATAAACCTGACGCGGTGATTGGTCACGACTCCACCAAAGTTCCAAATCTGCCATAGATGATTGCCAATGCGTCAGGGAGCTCCTGGTGGCCAATACATTTGCGAGTGTGTGAGGAGCAAAAACCGTTTCACATTGTCAGCTGAATTGGATTTCACTGTTGAAAGTGGGTGCTTATAGTTGGAACCAGTCTTGAACTTGTTAGGGGATTTTGGCTGAAGCCATCAAGGGGTTTTGGTAGGGCAGTGCTTCTCAAATCGCTGTCCCATGGAGTATACCAAAAAGTTTACTCCTTCTGACTATACGGACCTCATCGAGAACTCGCAGACCTCCCGAGCGCCAGCCTCTACCTCATCTGGCACAGCTGCAGCCTCACAAGGACTAGGACTGGTTCAGACCTTTCTCACTTTGCAACAACCAGGGTATCGTTACTACATATTGGCATGTTTTCTGCCAGGATCTCGTTTGGCCCGGTGCGACATGACTGAGTCGAGTGACTCTCAAGAAAAGAACAAGAAGGATAGTGAGACTCAAGAGAAGAAAGGTGAGAAAACGAAGAAATCAGAGAAGAGTGAGAAAAAGAATACGGCAGAAAGTGATGATGAAGAGGACGGCAAAAAGAAAAAAAAACAAAGAAGGCCAAACATGAAAGCGACAAAGAGGTTTTTGGTACTTGGGGTGATCGCCGGGATGGCGATGATGATGATGCTGATGGAAATGATGAAACAGGAAATGATGCCATGGAAGTGCGAGGATCCAAGAAGAGACCTAGTGCTGCTACCAGTTCAAAGAAAAACAAGAAACATGAGAAGGAAAAGAAATCAAAACACAAAGGTCGCAAACATGATGATGACTATAGCGCTGATGGCTTGGACTTGAAGGCACAGGTTGCACTGTCTATGATGCGCGCAGAACTTGCAGAGCAAGCAGCACATGACCCAGCAGAAATTGATTCCAGCCAGGACCGGGATTTTCTTATAAAACGCAGTTCTGACTCTGCCAGTCCTGTCATTGGTTCCTCACCAATCCTAAGGGCCTGGCCCCCACTCAACGCGTTGGCAGCTAGGAGCTCTTTGACGACAGCCTTCAACCAGACCAGTGCGTGAAAAGGCTGGTGGATGACTTTGAGGACTGCATTGTTTTAGATAGCACCCTTGTTGTACACTGCATTGTTCACTTCAATGGGGTTCCTAGGGGGCAACTGCCCTTGGCAGGAATGCTTCATCGACCCCACTGAGAGCCAAACCAAGGACCAAACTTAAAGCTTGTTTGTCACTTGTTGAGGCTTTCATTGCCAAACCGTCCACTGCCATCTCCAAGGGTGAGAGGGAAAACAACATCAAGCTAACAAAGTTATATATATATAATATAATATACTTGTATATACACAGGTACACAGCTTTGCCAGGGTTGCCAAGAGCTGCGCCAGGCTTTGTTCAAAACTCCTAGATGTGAAGAGACTGTGACATTGAGAAACTATGATTTTGGCAGGAATCGATGCTGCACGATCGCTGGGGCAGACCCTTCATCCCCTTCCCTGATCTGAGCCTTCACGACATCTACGCGGACCATGGCAATGCTGCTGCTGAGGTGAAGGGTTTAACATTGTCTAGAGTTGAGCACTGTTTCAACCTCTTGACAGGAACCTCCTGAGGAAACTACTGGCTTAGAGAGTGCGGCCCAACAGGAGGCTTAGAGAGTGCGGTCGATCAATCTGTTTGTTGACTATATGCATTCCTTTGCAGGTGGCTGACAGTGCACTCCCTGCACTGGTCGACCTCGAGGTCCTAGTCTTGGTTTGAATTGATACCCAACGTTGGGTATAAACTCTAAGTCTAGAAACTTGAGGCTGGAAGCCTGACCTGAAGTGCTTCATGGAGTCTGAAAACAGCCCTGTGGTTTCCGTGGAGGCTGGGTTTCTACTTTTGGATTCATTATTCACAGACTATTCACATACCTATGTTCTCTTGAGGAATCTGAAGTGCCTCATGATGATGAACGCCCACCGTCCATCTTCCAGGCTTGGGTTGTAAAGGGGTATCGTATGCTTTATGAAAAGGGTGGGGAATGGTTACGAGCCCAAGTATTGCGCAAGGAGGCGCACGAGGAGGCGGCTGAGGAGTTTGGCCAGCTGCAGCCACAGCCCCAAACTCAGAAACCCAGATTAGAAGAGCCCCCAAACAACCATTGAAGGTTTCATTGGGCCATTGAAGAATATCCCACTAACCTCTTCTTCTCAGGCCTGTGGTTCTGCTACCAGCCAAACCAAAGGCCAAAAGTGTTCCCAAGAAACGTGGGAGGCCTACGGCGAAGGCTGCACCAAAACCAAAGCCTAAACCCAAGGCTACACCCAAAGCAAAGAGCAGCGCAAAAGCGAAGTCCAAAACCAGGACAAGCCAACCAAAGAGCTCTGCTCAGAAACCGTTGAAGATGGATTGGAACAACATTTACAGCAGATGTTACCATGCCAAGAGAAGAGCAGGTCTTCCAAAGGAGGAGGCAGGGACCAAAACCCACAGTAAATGCATAGTTCAATGATTTCCCAATTTCAAGATGTGAGTTTTGAGAAGCTCTCTTCAGGCAGCAAAAGCGGCCAGGAAGATCGCGACCGAGACTGCGATTTCGAATGAGACTCCAGATTCATCGTAGATCCAAGAACCATAAACGCAAGAGCGCAAATTGGGGGAAAAACATTGCGCATCTCTTGCTGCTCTTGAGGGGTTGAAGGAAGGGAGAAGGAAGGGATGGGATTTGAAGTGTTAGTTACTATTGGTTCAAGTGTCAGTTGAGAGGGTTCACTCTTTTAAGCTGCTCGATGATTGCATTTGTGCGTGCTACTGACTATGTTGCCAAGTATATAGTCATGCTTTGAGCGCCATTATTTGTAAACGTGCAACTTTGTTCTTTGGTGGAGTGAACAGGGGTTTAAACATGTTTAAACTCAGAGGCAAGCGGAAGGGTAGTGCACAGAAAGAGTTTTGCAAAACACTGTTCTACTAACATCGTGGAAGGTCCAGGACATTCGTGGAACCCAGGGCTATTCGTGGACGAATCTCCAGCTCGAATACTGTCGCACTGATGGTTTCTCGGGAATTTGCAGAACCAACGCAGGCAACATCAGGGTAACCTCAGTTAGCTACCCCTCTCAACTGGCCCAACCAATTCTGGGTCCAACCCCCCCGTCGCGATCGGCCAGCGACATGGTTTCTAGGCCCAAGTCTCGGTCTTCGTCTCTCGAGCCGCGAGGCTCGTTGGTTCTCGCGGTGCCTTTCTTTCTCGGACCCGTTTGGATGAGCGTCGGTGTTTGGATCAGTCCGAGAGTGCCTGAACTCCTTTGTTCCAATCATCAAACTTGCAATGATTGGTCAATCCTTTCAAGCGAAACTATGCAAGGGCCTGGCATTGTTTCCAATGCTGTGTTGAGCAGTCCTGGAACTGGCATCAACTCCAATTCAAGCAAGGAGTCGCTGGCGCCAGGATCACAAGCTCAGCCTTCATCAAGAAGCCGACCACATGCTTCACAAAAAGATCCGCTGAAGATCCTGCCACTATTTTAATGCCAGAAAGCCACCAGACCTGCTAACCGAACCTGCAAAACTTGGACTCCAAGTTCAAAGGGCTCAGAGGAGGGTTGTAAGGACATGTAAGGACTCCAAGTTGAAAGGGTTGATTTGTGTTCCGGTGATGGAAGTGGCTCTTTCTCATCGAAAACGGCTCTTTCAGTCGCTTCATGAGGTAGGTTTGACACGGGAAGTCATGGAAGGTGTTTTCAGTCCCATGGCGGCTCTACAACCGCTTCGGCAGCTGGCATGGATGATTTAGGACACGCAAAAGGGATCAAAAGGGCATGAAATCTCCTGACTCAGGGCAGAGAAACGAGCGCAATGATTTGTGCCACATGAAGTGTTGAAAGCGCCATCCTGTCCATTGCCTATACAGTGTGGATGTCGACAAAAAGCAGAAAGAAAACATGTTCCACGGTGCAAACGCACCCATCGTACTCACTGGGCACTAGAGAAGCCGGCTTTAATCCAAGACTGAATTTGCCGAGAGTTTCTGCAAAGCACCAACCCATGAAACAGAATCGACGGAGAAGAACCGAGTAAAGAACTGTATTAAAATCTCAACCCGTTTCTTGGCACTAAAGCGATTAAGAACCAATCCCTACGGATCTATATGTCAACATAGATCGCAAGTTTGTCAAGGATTGATTGATCCCTATAAATGATCAACGAGTTCTAATTGCATTTTTTTTCATTCATGAGAGATTTGCAATGTCTTGGTTTCGTCTTGGGTATGCGGGGTATCTGCTTGGACCAAGAAAACTTTGGACTCAAACAAGACAGGAGACAAGTTGGCCTGAAGCAGGCTTGCAGCGTGTTGGCTGTTGCCTCATGATTCCTTCGTCAGCAAGTTGCCATTGCAGTACTGACTAGCCGGCCGTTGGGGGTGGGGGCCACCATGGGCAGCGGAAAACAATGCCGTGGGACGCCCGGATGTTTTTGGCGATCCCAGATGTAGAACGTCTCTAAGATATTTGTCCCTTCAGAGCGAGTCCATGAGCCTTCCGGAGGATGCGGAACAATCCATGCCCATCCCTTCAGATGAGGGACTCCTGGGTGGTGCGTCGCTGCGGTGGAGCACACGTCGCCGCTTTGCCTCGGTGGCGGCGTGGCCTCTCCCGCCAAGACCGCGAGGTTCTCTCGCGTGTCATTTGGTATGCTGGAGACAGAGGCCACACACAGTGGGGCTGCAAACCCTCCTTTTTTGCGGCAGTATCAGGTGAGCATGTGCGGTTTTGCAGTGATCATGGTCCGTGGTGATTGAGCGGCATCTCACAATGAATTACCGATAACACCCGAGAGCTTTAGCGCATTTCTTCGCATGTTTTCCAATAAGGCACATGTTAAACATTGAACCTTCAAAGACAACATGGACAATGTTTGACCACCAGTGGTTTCGCAAGTATCGTTTCGGGTGCAAGTTCAGGTGTGATGCTTCACTAGGAGCATGCTTCCAAAAGCGATTGCCCCCCATGTTCAAGTCGACGACAACTTGATCAACGGTTCGCTGCAGACTGAAGCCCATTTGGAGCCCTGACATGTCAGTTTTGAGTCTGATTTCACTGCCATAATGTAGTTCAGACACGAGTATTGGTTTCTTGCGCTCGAACGGTATCGCAATACAGTTCCTCCAACAATCATGGAAGTGGAGTTCATCCCCTCTTGGTAGAGGATAATCGTCTTCCCAGGAGCCATTATTCCATGTCCATGATTTTTGGAGGGGGAGTAGATGTAACAAATTTTGGCGCGTGGCGATTGAGAAAGCCCTAAAGATCGCGTCAAAGCTTCGTAAAGAAAAAGCTTCAACGGCATCGGTGGGTTCCCCCATAAGACCTTTGAAACTTCCCTTTATTTGCTTAAAGGCTGCCCACAAAGCAATGAGGCGTCGGCAATTTCCACAATGGTCAAATGACAAGATGGCAAGAATGACAGGATCGATTCGTTATCAGGTACACACCCGGCACATGCCGGTATCCCAGTACCCTGCTTTACACAATAGTTTGTTTGGTTTCTTCCACGCCTCACGCAGCGACTTCAAAA